TGCTTCTCCCCATAGCATGTTAGGAAGGTGTGTAGCGGTTAGCATAGCACGGATGCGAGGCAGTACAGTGCCATTCGCTCGCTCCACCACACCATTCTCCTGAGGAGAGTAAGCATTCGTGAACTGCTGCACAATCCCATGCTCATTGCAGTAATCTCTCAGCGCATTACTGGTGAATTCACCACCCTGATCAGAGTGCAGTCTCCGAACAGTGAGCTTGGGAAACTGAGTCCGAAGTTGATGTAGCAAAATCTTGACGTACAGTGTAGCCGCACTCTTTCGTTCGAGTAGATACGCCCACTTGAAGCGAGTAGCTTCATCAATGATTAGCAGGAACATAGTTGCACCACCTTCCGTCGGTTCATTCATCGTGCATATGTCCATCATCAACATCTCAAGCGGTTCAGACTTCCGTTTAGGAATCCTTGCATAAGTCATCCGTTTAGTCTTGCTAGCAGCACACGCAACACACTCATAGGAGCTCAGACCTTCTGCATTAATCTTTACTCCGACATCGAGCTTACTCGACAGTTCTCTCACAGTGTCCATACTCATGTGAGCGAACCGTTGGTGCAGTAACTCCATCGTCTTTCTGCTGTCCATGTCTTGTTTGCGTGCTGCCATCACCATCACTCCTGACACTCGCTCTGCCTTCAATCGGTAGATATTGTCTCTCATGATAAACTTCAACGAAGTACCTGGCTTTGAGAGCCAAGCTGACTGCTGATCATCTGAGCACAGCAGCTTGTACTTCCCAGCCGTCTGCAAGTGACCGAGGCTGATAATGTTCACCTTTGCATTAGGAGTGTAGACCACGTCCTCAAGGAGGCGATCTTCTTGTTCACCAGTTGTTTGGTTTACAATGCGTAGCAAGACAGAACCACACATAGTTGCATGTTCCGATGTTCCGTTGGCAAAGTCAAGCCGACTGGTGCGATCTTCTCGAATGGTAGTAAATAGAGACAAGTCTCCACAGACATTCGCCTGAGAGCCAGAGTCCAAAATCCACTCCACCCAATCTGAGTCATCAGACTGCTTTCCTTGGTTTCGACCAATCGCATTCACCTGTCGAATTCCACCGATACCAACATTCCCACGATTTTCGCAGTGTCTAGGCGAGTTTCCACGACGACTTGGCGACAAGTTCCGACGTTGAAGATCATTTCGACGAATGCAATCATTCAGTAGTGGTCCACGCGCGGGTGATGGTCCACTACGCCACGGCTCTTGCGGCTGGGGTCCATAATGACTTGGCGGCTGGTTGTTCGCTCGTGGCTCACGACGAGCAGACCAATTACGACCACGAGGTGGCGAACGCCAACGCAATGGCGAACACCCACGCTGCAGTGATCTTCCTCTCGGTGAACGACTTCTTCCAGACTGCGGTGGTCTTCCTTGTTGCAGTTTCGGGGCGGTGAGCGACTCCATCTACGTTGCGGCGACCTTCCTCGTTGGAAGTCCCGAGGAGGTGAGCGGCTCCTTCCACGTTGCGGTGATCTTCCTCTTTGGAAGTTCCGCGGAGGTGAGCGGCTCCTTCCACGTTGCGGTGATCTTCCTCTTTGGAAGTTCCGCGGAGGTGAGTAGTTCCATCCTTGTAGTTGTAGTGAGTCAGCTCGTCCTGGTATAAATCCACTGCGTCCTAGCTCATAAGGACTCATGTTGGACTGATATCCTCGCCCGTAATCTTGCTCGGGTCCTTGGCGTCCGCGTCGCTCAACATTAGGTCCACAATGATCATCCCCCGGCACAGGTGGACCCACTTGTGGTCCACCTTTGGTGTACCATAGCTCAGATCCAGGTCCTTGCGAGCTCTGCATCAGTCCTTGACCCAGATAGTATAATGCAGTTCCCAAAGCAGGAGGTGGACCAAGCGATTGGCCACTCTCCCACTGGCTTTTCATCGCCGCTGGTACAGCAAGTTGCACCTCTTGGTGTCCTGTATGCACTTGTCCATCCTTTTGTTCTTGTTCTCTACCTTGCATATGGTTAGCAGGAACTCTCAGTTGCAGTTGTTGCGGTGTCGTTGGCACGTTCGGGTGTACTGCAGGTGTACACTTGGACTCGAGTCCGACTGCCGACGTCTTCACCTCTTCAGCCAGATTCTCATCTTCAGCCTCACTGCTCGCAGGTGTTGTCACCGAATACACGGGAGACATGTGTGTAGCCGTCGCCACACCATCGTTGTTCCCATCGTTATTCGCCAGTCGTGTCGTCGCACACAACGAGAGACCCGAGAATAGACTTCGTTGCACACTGTCAGACTGGGCAACTTCAACTGGTCTCACCGAGTTGATGAGGGAAGCTGGCGACTTCTTGTACTTCAACTTGTTCTTAAGTCTCTTGACCAGGTCTGGTCTCAGTTGCATGCCAGTCTGCGCAGTGCAATCTGCATACCAGTGACCATCTCCATTGCAGTTAGCGCAGGCTGTGTGCTGCTTCTTCTCAGCTGCAACCTTTGCCTTCTTGCGCTGGTTCTTCCCACGTTTCTTTCCAGACTCACGTCCACTTCCACTGTTGTGTCCATGTCCGTAGCCTTGACCTTGTCCTCGTCCTTGTCCTTGGCCAGCACCAACCTGCGCGACTTGCATTGTCCGCGTTGTAGGCCGGTTCGTCTGCTGTTGCAGCTGATCACGCTGATGTTCAGCGGAGCGCAGGCGCTGCAACGCCTCGGACAGCTTTAGGCCACGTCGGTCGTGTTGGTTGATCCAGTCTGCGTGTTCACGCGCGAGATCTCGAAATACCAACACGCAGTTTGATAGAAGTAGGCTTGCATGTTGCCATTCTTCAAATTCACCATTTCCTTGACGCAGGAGTGTCACCTTTCGTCCGATGTCCTCCACGTACGCAGTAACGGACTCGTTCGGTTGTAATCGGCGAGTCACCAAGTCCTGTAGCAAGTAGTCAGGGTTGATGCCGTCTACAGCCTCAAAGTGTTTGGTAATCGTTGAATACAGCATTGCTGCCGCATCCATGTTGTCTCTTATCTCATCGATCTTGAACGTAATGCGTAAGTCCACAGATAGAGATAGGGCCAACGCGGAGAACGCCTTGTTCTTTCGCGTCGCATACCACTCATGATACTTAGGGCGACGTAGTCCTTTCTCTTCGTCATATCGCTCTCCTCCATACGTAATGTCGCCTAGCGAGCGCGTCTCGAAGTGCAATGGCACCTCGCTTCGCCACGCTTTGTAGTCTTCTTTCTTGTGGAGCTTAGGCAACACAATGCTTGCGGAGTTGCGCAACGCCTTGGTGTGGTCGGACAGCTCCTTGTCGTTGTACCGATCACCGGGGTTCATGTTGTCCAGGCTGCTCTCTCCTCGGCTCGTGTAGCTTCGTCCACTGCCAACCGATCCTTGGCTCGACGGTGGTGGAGGCGGAGGGGGCCGATTTTCAACTGGCCCCGTTTCTTCGATTGTGTTCGAATTCTGCATACCTTCGAGTAACACTCGAAGCAACGGTCGCCCACCAGTAATTCCGACCAATGAGCGAATTAGTCGCTCAGCATCAGATTGCGATAATGTCGCATCATCCGGGCCATTCAGTCTTTCGACCAATCCCGGGGAATCTCCTCCTTGATTCGTCAAAACTTCTTCTTGTGTGTTTTCAGCACCAGAGTCCACGTCAGTCGATCGCTGCGCCCTGATTGGGCTCATAACCTGAGATGACGCATGGCGCGTCACCGGGCTCTCCGACCTTCTATCACTACGTAACGTAGGTGCCATAAGCACAGACTTGTAGGGCAGTAGGTGTAGAGCAAGTAGGAATAGGATGTAAGACACGTGAGTGCCGGGCAAAGTACCACGACAGGACCACGGAGTTCTGGTGCTTGCTGCCTCTCACTCGTTGTGCACGCAGCACAGCAAAAGCAGTTGTGAGAGTGAGAGCTGCCAGCACCTGAACCTCCATGTTCCGCAAAGTTAGATTAGCACATACTCAGTCTAAGATAGTCTATAGAAAGCTAAGTAGTTCACCATCACCTGCAACGCAGTTGCAGTTGCTCACCGCCACCAATGTCGTCCTTCATACAGTCCTTGGTATCTTCCGCACGCCGCTCGCACGTGAGCGCGTTGCAGACCGGTACGCCGGGATGCAGTACATGCATAGACACGCGTAGGATTGTAGGTTGGATCGGTAGTACTGGTATTGCCAGTGTCTTGGGCTGTGGCAATGACGTCTGGCACTGGACACTGGCAGACCGTAGCAAGTAGCATCTCACAGTAGCAGGATAGCATCTCACAGGTGTACCCACTTCGGGGTGCTTGTCGACGAGCGGTACCACACCGGCACCGATAGAGACCCTCAATAGTTTCATCGAATGCATCCGTGACGGCTGAAAAGTAGAAACCAGAGATTCGAGTGTTGGAAAAGGCTTGGGTGGCCATGATGCAGATAGCAAAGTGAGTGTACGTTAGACGGAAGAAGGTGGGCTCTTGATAGCCATCTATCTGCGATTTCCTAAGTTAACAGTAAATTAAGGTATTCATCCACAAGATTAGGTAAATCATTTATGGTCAGCCTTAAGGTCCGAAAATAAATAATTTCAGGGTCGTTATTGTATTGTACGGGCAATCAATGTATTTTTCGGCATCCCTGCCCCCAAGCACCCCTCGAATCGGTCGATCCGATGACCAAATATAACCGTCTTCACCGCTGCACAATTCGTTGATCAAAGGGTCCAATCGTTTGATCCAATCTCCATCAATGCAAGCCGCATAAAGACCCTTATATAAGCATGGTGGAGATTGAGCCTCGCAATCGACAGGCTGAGCATATTCGAGTTTTCATCGACTACGACGTCAATTATTGCCCCTGGCATCCCCGCAGCAACACATGTGAATGTCCTCATCGTCCCTTGCTTGCTGATTCACTTTCAGGAATGCCTTTTAGATTGTCGTTGGAAGCTTCATGACGACGAAATACTTCAAGTAATAAAACGCCGAGATTTCCATGGGTCTAACCCAAGATTCACTGGTGCTTTCATTATTGATAAAGCGCGACGTTTCGTAAATTGATCGGTCATGAGGGGACAGAATGTGCGAGGGCGTCTTCGGCAGCAAGATATTGTGTTAGCTCCTGTTAGAGACCAAACTGCAAGGGCTCTTCGTGAAGCTCGACGGACTGGGGTCTTGAGTCTACCAGCGAGGAATCTAATCGAGTTCCCATCGCCAGTTTATCACTTAGAAGAACACTTGGAAAAGGTTTTGCAACATTTTGATCTACAATTTTAACTTTTTTTTTGCCATAATACTGAATCAGTGTCCATGTCGTAGGACGAGAAGAAGTGGGAGTGCATTGATCTGGTCAAGATGGACTTGAGTCACAATGCGATCCCTTCCATATCCGATGAAATCGGTGGTCTGACGTCCGTCACTTCGATCAAACTGACGAAGAACGCCCTTCAAGTCTTACCTGAAGGGTTTTTCGAACTCCACGCTTTAACCTATCTCGATCTGAGCCAGTACGTATCCTCTGGTATTTCTAAAATAATTATACCAACAGCCAATAATGTGTTGTGTTTGCACTCTTGCAGTAATGAACTTGAGCAAAACCTCTCCGAGAGTTTTGGAGCACTAATCGGGTTAAAAGAGCTCGGGTTATCGGGCAACAAGCTCAGTCATCTGCCAAACTCCATAACTCTTCTTGAAAACCTCGAAGCGCTACATGTCGACGAGAACAAGCTTACAGCTCTGCCGGAACGAATCGGAAACCTTCACAAATTACACGTTTTAAACGCGCACTCGAACCATTTGACTGCTCTTCCATCTTCATTCGGAGCGCTTCGAAACATGCAGAACCTTGATCTCAAGAAGAATCGACTGGAGTCTACGGGTGACGCACTGGCGACGCTTACAAAGCTGAAGTTCTTGGACTTACGACAGAATAAGCTCGCCGTTTTCCCAGCTCTGCCTGAAGGTGCAGATCTGGACCAAGTTTTTCTCGGATACAACACACTCTCGACTATTAATGAGACGTCCATTTTACGCGTGAAAGACTCGGTCACTGTATTGGATATGAGAGACAACAAACTGGCAAATTTACCAGCTAACATCGCGTGCTTGTATCGACTAAAGACGTTGGATGTGGCGAACAACGATCTGTCGGACTTGCCACCAGGACTTGGCTACCTCAAACACCTTAATCACTTTATCGTGGATGGAAATCCTCTTCGAGCTATCCGTCGAGCAGTGATCAGTGCTGGATGTGAGTCACTTAAGAAATATCTACGCACACGAGGAGCTCCTCCTGCTGGCGTTGATGTCTTGGAAGAAGAACGAGACGAATTGCAAATAGAACGAGAACGTTCAACCCACGCAGATGACGGCGCGCAGCCTGCTTCTGACTATATTTTCCAGTTTCGAGAGGCTGCAGCTTCTGGGACGATGATCCTCATGAACAACTCTCTCAATGTTTTGCCGCCAGACTTGGTAGGCCAAGGCCAATTCGACTTCGGCTCGACGCTGTTTCACTTGAATCTTTCGTCCAACCAATTGCGCTCGCTTCCTGCTGCAATCGGCGAGTTAGTTTCGCTCAAGGTTTGCTGAAATTTCGTTATTTTTGTTGCTTGACCAAACTAATGTTATAATACTTGTTGACTTTGAAGACTTTGACTGTCGAGGACAATGAGCTGCAAGCTCTTGATCCCTCTATTGCTGCGTTGCCTCATCTGGAGCTATTACGTCTTCGAAAGAACAGTCTTTCAGCGGAGAGTATCAGTGAGTTTCTCGGAAACTCGCCTGCGTTGGGAGATTCGCTTAAAGAATTGGATGTACGCAACAACAGCCTAGCTACTCTACCCGTAGAGATCAGTCAGCTACGATCTCTTGAAACACTACTGCTAGGCTTCAACCGACTCGAGACTCTCGATCGCTTTCCGTGGTCGCAACTGACAAAAGTAAGCGTGGTTAGTGTCTCGGATAACAAATTGCGTGCACTCGGACGGATCTACGACGCTCCACTGCTCGCTTCACTTTCATTCGAGAACAACAGCTTGACCAAAGTACCGTGCGAACTCGGCTTGTGTCCGCACCTTCGCGCCATCTACATGAACGGCAATCCGCAGCGAACTGTGCGAGGAGGAGTCATCGCAAAAGGCAGCGCCGAGATTCTGGCATATCTAAAGAACAAGCTCCCACCCGATACGGTTCTCTCACCTCCGTCACCTGTTGCGGTATCGCGCACTAAGAAGCCTTCAAGTGCTGCCTCAAAAAGTCGAAACACTGGAACTCTACGAGTCATTGACAATACTTATGCAACTCAAGGTGACGTTGCTGTAGCAGCTCCAGTTGCCCCACTCGACAGCTTTACCGTACTGAATGAAAATGCTGTTATTGAACTCGAGTTATCCAAGTTATCGACGCAGATCGAGCAGCTTGAGTCGCGGCTCGATACTCAAACTCTGTCAGCTGCAAAACGCTTCGCACTCAAGAAAGAACTGGCGATGTTACGCTCCAAAAAGATCCGCGAGGCTCGCAAACTCCAGTGAAATGATCAAAGAGATTTAAAAAAAAGTCACAAAAAACTTTATTACTAACCTGACACACGGGTCGGTTGATTGTGTCCTCGAGTTGTTTGTGCCTTACACGGGCGTATTGAGGTTGTTGACGGAAGAGTCTTGAGCTACAGGCATTGGTTGCCGTCTCTTGTGATGGACGTACTCGAATACAAAGCCAGCGAGTGCCACTGCGGCAATGATAATGCCTACCACGATACTTCCGGAGAGTCCCGAGTCCGAGTTCTCCTCTTGCGTCGATATGGAGCCTGTAGAGCCTGCAACAGCGTCGTCCTGCGAGGAATCCGTCGATCCTGTCGATACTGAAGTCGAGTCGCCCGAGCCCTTCCCAACGGAGAATTCGGCTGTCGCCGGTACGCCACACTGTGAGAGCGAGAGCTCAATATCCTCGCCCGTAAGCTCGCTGCTTAAAGGCGAGGCGAGCTCCACCACTACCGTTCCATTAGTCATAGAATTCACACTACTGACTTCCACAGTCTCGTCTTCCACCGTCACGTTCAGTTGGATACTTGAAGAGGCACAGAAAGTGTCCGTTGTCAGCACCAGTTCCGAGCTGCCGACGTTTAATCCTCTGACGTCTCCGATCGTAAAGTTCGGCGCCGCCATACTGCCCACACTCACGAGGTTTGACTGGGTACTGCTGGCTACTGTGACGCCCACAATGAGCGCCGTAGCGTCTCCCGTACTGCCGTCACAGGGCAGCGGCTGACTCAACGCCACTTTACCCGAGCAGTTCTCTCCGCCGCAACTTACGTCGGTCACCTCTGCGTCCTTCATCAGCTCTATAGTGCACGTCGTGTCGGTGCCGGCTCCTCTGCAGATTTGTGCCATGTTGCAACTGGAAATGCTCGAGAACCTCGAGCCACTGATGTCCACTTCGGTGGCGCATACCGAGACGCTGGCCGTGCCGCTGTTCATGACGGCGGCCGCCGTCGTCTCGAACGTGGCGATTGTCACAGTGTCGCTATTGCCACCTGCTGTGAGCTGCGCCGTTAAAGTGTTGGTTACTCCGTTGTTCTGCAATGCGACGGCCCAGTCCAATGCCGATTCGAAGTTGACGGTCACGGCGCAAGTGTCCGGCGTGCACCCGTCGGCCGCTACGAGCGACGCGAGTGTAGGCAGCGTCTCGTTCTTGACATCGCAGCTCGGGAGGGATGATACACCGAAGTTTAAGGCGTACGTGCCGTTCTTGGAGCTGTCAAAGTTGCAAAAATTCACGTTGACAGACGTCGCTCCGCCCGTGATGGTCGTCGCCGTACCGTCTAGCATGCACGTGTTGCCGCCGCAGTCTGCGCAGCTTACAGCGGCACGTACATAAGAGAAGAGGCCTGCTGCACTCGTGAGCGCCAGCAGCGTCTTCATGCTGAGACTCCTACCTGAGGTCAAGAAGAGTGCGAACTGTGTGCGTCGTCGCCGATACTGTCGACAGTGTCGTGGAGGACCGTTTCCTGCGGCGATTGGGAAATAGAGCGAGAATGGCGAAATCACGCTGCGGTTGGCTGAAAAAACAGCAAGTACCTAACCGATAAGAGTGCTCAGAGATCGGATTGGAATCCCTACTGAAAGCAAGTGAAACCGAAAAGCACTGTCTGCCGTCTCTGCTCACGAGACAGGACAAACAAGTCGGATTTTGCAGTTGCATTGCGGACTGCACACTGCGAAGAACTCGGCGACGCTTGTGGAGTGGTTTTGAGAACTACATGTATACAGTATACTTAGTAGCTGCTAGCTGCAGACAGGATAGGGACAACAGCTACTTGTATTAAGGGAGTTTTTGAAAGATAACGTAATTTTTTTAAGACAGACTGCTCTTTTGCTAACTGCGTCTGTACCCAAATCTCGGTACAATTAAATAGAAATTTTCTTCAACACTCCGAAGAAAAGACTGAGATGATCCGCGAGGTGTGGCGCATCGAACTGGGCGTGGGCGTGGGTCCCTTCCGCCTCGGTGCGAGCGTCGCCGAGGTGCTACACGCTCTTAAGAGCCGTCTGCCAGTCCGCCCTTTTGAGATAGCGTACGACGCTGTCGAGCCTTACAAGCGCGACGTTGTCATTGAATCAGCTGAGGACGGACTCAGAGTGAGCAACGCAGTCTTTATCCTCTCCGTAGACAACAGTCAACTTTTAACATACCCCCTTCACTCTCTGCTAGCTGCATTTCGATCCAGTGCGACAGACGCTCAAAGTGATCGAGTTTTACGACGTGAACCGCGTAGCTTTGAAATTCGGGCGTGTAGTAATCTTCGGCGGTGACATCTCCGCCACCTTCATGTCTGTTTACAACGTAAGTATCAAAAGCAACTGCACTACTTCACTGCTGGCATGTGCACGTATCCTCACATGTAATTTTATCCGGGTGTAATGCTGCAGCTTTTCGGACCGACATTTCCTGGTCGCTACGACGCTTCTGAGCAGGTTGGTGTAGTTATCGATCAGCGTTGATTGCATGAATCCGGTGGTCTAATGCTGTTTCTTTGTTGGGCATACAGAGCTACGTGTTGGGCTACGAAGGCGGTTGTGTCAAATTCCCGATTCCTGCTGAGTACCGGAATTTGTACCAAAACGGCATCGACCTACCAATGGAGTTTCCGGTACCTGCTTTGCGATCTGAGAATTTAAAAGACTTTAACTCTTAAATGTATGTGTTGGTGGTGCAGAATGGTGCAACTCCAGCTGCTACGGGCTTTGTGGTTTTTGTGGGTGGAGACTATCGGTCTCCTGGACTCCCTGGTCCTACCAAAAAGTAAAGGTTTACAAAGTCTGGGGTGTGAAATTGTTTTCAAGGCTGACTATGGATTCTGTGTAGACACTACTTTGAAGAAGTTGCTGTCGACATTGCAGAAAAGAAAACGTCGCTGGTTTTCTCTGGCCGAAAGCAGTGCATCCGGCTAGGATGGTCCCCCCAGGTTCTGTAAACAATTGGGTACTTGATAATATTCGGTATCTGACATATTTCGTGGTCTTTATAGGAAGTGATTAGCGAGCTTGGTGCCCCGGTCTCTGTGTTTCGGAAATCTGAAGATCCTAATGACGGGTACGTTTCTGTATAGCAACTGGAAATCCTAACCAGATTGTTCGTAACGTCGAGTTGGGTCGCAAACTTTTAGTGCTACCGTTGCTGGTGGACTTGTTGGCGAGTATTTCCACAACTACCCGCACTTAGGACTCGACATCTTGTATAATTCGATGCATCGAGTGTCGAAAGTGATTCTGAAAACCAACGCGCTCGGGTGAGTAGTGTCGATGTTTAATTCCGTTGACTCCTTTACACTGCTTACGATTTGATTAATGTTACAGTCACCCGGACTTTGGCGCCTACAACAAATGCAATTTCCGACTCACTTTTCAATCGTCAAGTGCACTTCAAAAGTCGGGGATTTCAAAGAGAACCAGTCTGGAAATCACCCCTCAAACACCGGTACATTTAGTCATCACGCCGGGCTAATCACGCCATCGCTCTGACATTATTTAACTTGTTTCTAAACTCTGCAGTGGGAGGACATTCGTCTGGTTTTTAAGAGCTCGTCGGACTTGCGACCGATTGTCCTTGACAACGGTCTGGGCCTCCATCCGTTCGGGGCAAGCTTGTGCTACTCACCAACACCAGGATGCACCTTCGAAGTGATGAAGAACGGCTTCATCGCGAGTGTTACGCTCACATCCTCCAGCTAAGAAAAACCTCCCAAGACATCCCGTTCATATCTCATGGTAAGGCTGTTTTCGCGTTAGCTTCTGCGTGGTGCATTGAAATACCCTATCGTCGTGATAGCTGCGTCGGTGAATTTTAATTTGCATTCCAAAAAGCAAGAGAGGCTGGAGAAATGCTAGAAAAACGTCGAGTTCTCCGTTAATAACGTCGCTGGTCGTAGGGTCCACGAGGCTGCTGGCTCTGCTGGCTGTTTCCGTAATACGCTGGAGGCGGCGGAGGAGCACCGCGTGGCATCTGGTTGTATCGTGGTGGCTGAGGTTGACCGTAGGGCGCACTAGGTGGTGCTTGAGGCTGACCGTACGGCGCTCTTGGCGGTGGCTGCGGCTGGCCGTACGGTGCACTTGGAGGCTGCGAATATTGCTGATACGGAACCTGCGGAGGGTATGGAGGCAAATTGTGTGCGCTGTACTGTGGCGGAGGCGGCGGCTGGTAGTAGCCACGTGCTGGAGCTTGTCCTTGCGATACAGGCACTCCACTGTATGGCGGCATGGGTGGCTGAGGCACTCCATTACCCTGGGGGGACGTGTAGTTCGTGCTGCCATAGGCAACAGGTCTCGCCCCACCGAAACCACCAGGCTGCGTGTATTTCGTAGCACCTCCGTACGGTTGTGTCTGCATCGCAGGAATCGCAGGCATAGGAGGCATCGGAGGCTGCTGACTGTAGTTGCTGCGTGTACCGTGAGGCGACGTATTCTGTCTCGCATGGTAGTCCGTGAAGTTTCCTCCACGACCGCCTCGTCCTCCACGTGCACCACGACCCCCACGTCCACCGTACGATGACGCAGAGCTAGCGCCTTCACTTGGCGCACCGCCTCGATTGCGTTTACGGTTGCCACGCTTGGCTGCTGCCTCTGCTTCGTCGTCGGAGAACTCGGTCTCATCAGCTTCTTCGTCAAAAATATTGGAAGCGTCGGTGCCCTTGTCCTTGATCTCTTCTGGAATGATATACGTCGTGTGCTCCGTGGCGTAGTAGACAACAGTGTTCACTGTCGCCCTCTCCGGCATCTTGGCGGCGTTCTCGAAACGAATCAAATACATGGGCATCAGAACTGGACCAAATACCTCGTCCACACATCCGATAACTGTACGGTCTTCAAGACACAGCACGCTTCCTTCGTTCAGTGGCTTCGTGTTTGGGTTGGATTTGATAGTCATCATGAGTCCAGGCGCACTTACGTTTAAGATATTGCCGAATTGAGCGATGGGGCAGTCGGCTGTCAGCTCCACTTTCGGTTCGCGTACAGGAATGGAGGCTACTTCGTGTTCCGTGGTCAGCGGGCCACCAGTCTTGTTAGCCTCCTTCTCCATAGCAGCCTCAATCTCGGCGCGCAGCTTGGCGGGGTCTTCGCCTTCTCCGTCACTGTCTTCGCCTGAGCTCTCCCCATCCACTTCCTTCTTAATAGGTTGTTCGATTCCACCATTTTCATGCTTCTTCTCCACTTTCTTCTCGACGGGGGCCTCGTTGTCGGAGCTGTCGCTGTCACTGTCGCTGTCGTCCTTGTCCGTCACGACGGCCACCATCGGCGCCTTTGGGGCTTCGCTTACTGACGCAGAGTTTGCGAATTGCGCCGTCACGGAGTGCAGCTCCTCATCAGCGTATTGCGCGGCGACAGCAAGGTCGGACACAGGCTCGCTGCTCTGTTGCGCGTTCATGGCGCTGATGAAGTCGGCAACAGGAGCTCCAACCAAAATGTCGCTTCGTTTGAAGTTCGTATCGTACTTAAGAGCAGTAGACGACCGTCTCACAAAGAAAGCACTTTTTAAAAATAAGAGTGTGCACTTGTTTTTCACTTTCAAAATTTGTCAATTGATTGGCCAAGAGTATTGCAAAAATTGCCAAACTCTTCTACAGTACCGGTAATCGTGATTTCTAAACTGCTTTGTTAAACCTGAAAAAAATGCCAGTAAAACTCTTCAAGTACCGGTATTCATGATTTCCAAAATGGTTTGTCAAACAAGCTTGCAGCACAGTACATGTATCGGCATGGCTTATTACATGAGTGCGCGGCACCGTGCGGCGCTTGACGACGAATCCTAGAGCAAAAAGCACGTGCATTCACTCCGTGGAGTCAACAAAGGCCTCTGGTCAGCGAGATTGGTCCCGTAATCGGCTCGAATACTGTGCCGACACTGTCGGCCCGACAGTCAGCCTTGGATCACTGTTCTTATTGGTTAAAAAGCGCGGTGGGATTGTCCGACCACAACGGTATCCGCCTTCGGCTCTCTCACTCTGCAATTTGCCAGATCCACTACAAGCTTCAACCAAGACCTCCCTCTCAATTAGTAAATATGTCATTCGAGCTGCCGAAGATCGCCTACGACTACAACGCCCTCGAGCCTTTTGTGGACACGGACACCATGAACATCCACCACACCAAGCACCACCAGGCTTACGTGAACAACATTAACAACTTTATTTCGTCCGACAAGGGCGCTGCTCTTAAGGGCAAGTCCATCCTCGAGGTGGTACAGTCGGCCACTGAGGCTCCCGTGCGCAACAACGGCGGTGGTCACTACAACCACTCGCTCTTCTGGACGTGGATGACCTCGCCTGGCTCCACTAACACGGCACCGCACGGCGCCCTCAAGACCCGCATCGAGGAGGACTTTGGCTCGCTCGACCAGATGAAGCAGCAGTTCAATGCTGCTGCCTCGTCGCGCTTTGGCTCTGGCTGGGCTTGGCTCGGTGTCAAGGCTGACGGTAAGCTGGCCATCACGTCCACGCCCAACCAGGACAACCCGCTGATGCCTGGCGTGGACCAGCCGCTCATCCCCATCCTCGGCCTGGACGTGTGGGAACACGCTTACTATCTCAAGTACCAGAACCGCCGCCCCGAGTACATTTCAGCTTTCTGGAATGTGGCCAACTGGGACAAGGTCGTCGAGTACTACGACGAGTTCGCCTCGAAGGGCAAGCCCGTGGACATCTGAAGTGGAGAGCAAGAGGCGGCAACGACAACGCACTCGTCGCTGTGAGGTGAGAACATGGAGCACTAAAGTCACAGTGTGTCTCTTTAAGCTTGTGACTCCTCAAGTGCTTGAGTACACTGGGACCTCGATCGCTCCTGGAAGCTCTCCACCCATGTTAATTTCAATGAAAGTTCTTTGTCTTTTAATGTTGTTTTACCGTTATAGTGGTAGATCATTTTGGTGCAGTAGTCCCAGTCGCTTTTGCGGCACCGCTGCTTGGTCGAGAGGGAGGTGCGTCTGCGGAAGGCTTGTGCAGCTTGAAAACCAGTGGCACGACGTGAGGCGATCCTTTGTCGTCTACAGCTGCAGAGCACACGCAATAGATCAGGCATGCATTTTTTTGGTGGGCTATGTTGAAGACGCGGATCGTCACTTACTAACAGCCACCGCGGTGTATTGTGCTCGAGATTTCAGGATTGAGTTCGCTCGTGCATCGCCCATCTCGTCTAATTTGAGGCGAGTTCCGAGGTCGTCCGCGAGATCAACGATAGCTGTACCTGCAACCAGCTCTAGCAATTACACTTCAGTATCGACACCAGTTCGTCCCAAATCCAAGAAACTCTGAAACCTTTCGCCAACTTGGAAGCTGCTGCGACCACTTGAAGCTGATACTCGGTTGCAGATTTCTTGGAGACGATCTCTGCTATGCTCTCGTCCGCTGATTCATTGAAATCCGCATGCATCGAGGGCGTGATCGGGCGAGATGAAGTGGCCCCACTTGCTGGACGCGAGCTAGTGCCCCCATCCGAAGATCTGTCTGTCGCTGATGTTGTCGCTGCGTCGCGCACCTGGGCAACCTGCAGCGCTCTGTTGAGAGAATCTAGCTCGATGCCCAACTGAATATATTTCTGCTTGCACACATCCTCAACATCTCTCGCGCAAGTGTTTTTCACAAAACTCCTCAAGATTGCGCAGGACACGTTGGCGTTGTACATCTTGAGCGGTGTAATATTATCTGCTCGTACTCATGCATACGTTAGTTGGACGGCAATATTCCCTCAGAACAGAGGAAGCAAGCCCTCACCGAAGCCATATTTCATCCAGAAGAAAGAGGCTTGAGTGGACGATGACATCCCTTGCTGAAGGAGTGACTTTTCACGCGACCGATTTAGCAAAAGTCTAAAAGCCACAATTCTGCTAACGTTACAGTATTACCTGAAACTGTATTGTGAATTCCGACCAAAGTTGCCGTTTTGGCTATTCGCTTACAAATTTCAATCTGTACATGTATGTACTTTTCGAGTTTTGCAACAAGTGGGCAAGTCGATAGGACAGCGACGAGATAGGAGACCCCTAGTAATAGTGCATTGTGGTTGCTGAAAAAGGGCTGGCTACGCTGTTTCAATTGTGATAACGATGTAAGCCGTGGCTCATCCTACAAAACTCCAGGAGCGTTCGCTGCCTATTTACATCGCTATCACAATTGAAGCTGGAGTGATTCCCGCAGCTCAGATTGCCGCCACAGACTTCAATTTAGGACGTCATCCCAGAATCAAGGAAAGCGGCTCCACCCGCAGCGATCTGGGAGCTGAGTGATGGTCTCTGTGACGGGGTCACACAGCACCTTGCGCTAGAGGAAGTTAGCTTCCGAGGGTTTACAAACTCAGCCCCTTTGGCTACAGGGAGCGAAGTGACCAATGGGTGCCTTTCAAAAAACCCATGAAAAAATTTATCAATGGGGTTAGAGTGGATTAAACGGTGATAAAAACTTCGTGATAAAACTGCAAAGTTTGGTGAGACGAGAGAGTCGTCTCACCAAACTTCCCGTTTTATCCCGTTTTATCCGCTTTAATCACGCACCCCTATTTAGCAACTAATTAAAAAGTAATTTGTGTTTTGTATATGATTTAGCGCTTCCCCTAACTAGCAATTGAAGTTGAATGCGTCTTCAAGGCGCGAAGTTTCGCGCCTACCGCGGCCTCACTTCATTCCAAAATCATTTCCATACCGCACAATCAGATCCGCGGTGGTTGTAAGTAGGGCATATTCTCCCGCCGAATTGTTTGTCAGGTTTTATTAACTTGTTAACTTGTGCTATGGTTCTATTGGCCCTCAGGTATGAGGCAGAACATTTCGCAATGGCCTCCAAGCTCCTAAACGCGGCTACAAGGTGATAGTTTTCTTCTTGGAGTATCGTCTTAGAGAAGCGTACGCGTTAACCCGATTAGTGTTGCGTTTAATATATGTTAGCCCCGGAATGGTAGCGCCTACTACTATCAATCGGTCTCTTGACTTCAAGACTTTCTCTGAGCCTCTCCTTAACGTTGGGAATCGACTTAAACGCGTTCGTGAAGAGTCTCGTGATCACTGTGATCAACCACCAAGCTTTGATGAAGGGGTGAGTGCATCCAAAAGGCGGCGTGGCGGCGAGTCAATAAGACTCAGAGAGTCTCTCAGCGTTGTTTGCCAAGATGCTGCTGGCCGGTCACGGGCTAGCCTCCGTAATGAACAAACGAGGTAGAGCGCGAACAACGAGATAGTGAACGTAGAGCGGAGGCAGCCTTAGTTGAACAACGGCTACAACAACAGCGTCTTGACGAAAAACTGCGTCGTGAAGAAGAAGAGCGGAAGGAAGTAGCGGCCCGAGCAGAGAGAGACCAAGAACAGGCTGAAGAACGAAGACGACACGAAGAGCGAATGGAGTTGGAGAGAGCGGAAGCCAGGTAGCGGCACGAGCAGATGATGATTCTGTTAAGTAACATGAGTGGAAGAAAGTGATTGAGAATAGTAGTAGCGACTTGAGGCAACATCAACAATGATAGCCACAATACGTTTAATGTCAATTGTACCTGTCTCTGCCGTGTAGATGTGTAGTGCGAATTTGGCTAATGCCCACTGCGCGGACTCGGAAGTTCGCCAACCGAAAGAGGTTGTCAAGTCGCTTTTGACGCTTCGACGTCTCGAATGGGAGCGGCACTAGTAGACGTCCATACACCTTCTCAATGGAGCCCATGCCCCACTCTGCCGACTGGCGAATGAATGTGATGGCCCCAGAGAGAGCTCTTGCAACTGGCCGCACCGATGGAGTTAAACGTCCCAAATCTCCATCTTTTAGAGGAGTTAATATGCGTCCTTTCATCTCTTTAGCGCACGGAAAAGCGCTATCTGCTACGACGCCGTAGCGCGAATCTGGATTTAATCTCGAGTGCACCAACTTTTGCCGGAAGCCTAAACTCGTATCCCCCTGCCCGGGCAATTGTGTTTAGCCCACACAATTAGCCCGTCAGCACTGAAAAAAGGGTCCCGGTGACAAATACGTAATGCAGCCAGCCATTATAATGTGCATTCTGTACGTCAGTATCTGGCGGCTGCTGCACCTAAAACAACAGCACGTATTAGATTTTATATATGGAGTAAAAACAGTATATCCACTCACCTTGTAATTTTACCGTCTAAAAAGCCCCAAGTGTATCGCAAGAGCGGCTGGCGGGCTTCCACTAACTTTGCCAAAACCTTTTGTCGAAGTGGTGATGGCCACACAATTCGCGCATGTTCAAAGCCATTTAAAGCTCTAGACATGGCGTCCTCCGCAGCATTTAACACGCGAGAGAGTGTGGAGGGTGGCACAGCAAACCTGAAGCAAAGCGATTCCCTTTTCATGGTACCTACGTAAAACGACATCAACAGACCCAGAGCCTGATGGTGGTGCTGTAACTTCCTGGGTCTCCCCCCACGCGGAGAGTACTGAGGAAGCTCAGAATAAAGCGCAAAACGCTCTAATAGGATCTCGAACGCAGCGCTATTCAAAATACACAATTTGTACTGTCAGGTCGCTATTTATGTAGATAGATACAGATATATCTTACCGAGATAAGCTCGTCTTTGTTATCAGGTTCCCATCGGTGCCGTTAAGCCACAATCGTATCCCGTCGGACTCCATGGGGTGCTTTCAAGCAGTCGAGAGTTACGTAGTGCCTCATTCGTACGAGTCTCTGCCACTCAATACGTAGCTTCTCTGCATGGAGGCGTCGTCGCAGGCGACTCAAAGTAGAGAGTACCGTTTGGGACGTTTGTCGCGTCTCTGCATAGCAGCACTGAGCACTAACACCGCTCCGTCGCTGCTCATAGCAGCTTCTCTATAGAGATCTTCTATCAGGATGTTGCAGGGAAGGGGGGGTGCAAATCTTTAGCGATCTTTTACCATCTTGATAAATAGAGATTGTAGAGCTATTTTTGTCCTATAATGACTTGTCACGATCGTCAACCTATATTCAACACAGTATGTTTTGAACTTCAAACACAGCCAATTTGGGACAAAACACTATTTAATAGGGTTTTTTGGATGTAGGTTTTTCTAAATGCCGATATAAAAACGCATCACCGTGATAGAAGGGTGATTAAAGGGTTCCTAAAAAATTGCGATTAAACTGTTTTATATGGGTTTTGGAAGGCACCCAATTTAAGAGGACCTCCACCGGTATTGTGTATTGCAAAAGTGATTATCGAGAGTGAATCGGGAATTGGGACCCGAGTGTACCATAGAAAAGACAATTTTTACGCAATTCATTTGCCAGTTCCCAACGGTTGTATTGCACATTTCTATTTTCAGCGTAGTTTTTTTTTTTTTACAAACAGCATTTTTGAAACCTTTGAACACTATGAACATGTCGAGCGCTCACACACTGAGCTGCAGGTGTACGTGCAAGAGATGCGCACGTTGGTGGCATCTCTGGCAGGGAATCCTCTGCCTGAAGAAGTCAAGACAACAGTCTTCATGGACGGCCTGAAGGTCGGTCCTGCTCGCACCCAGCTATTCCGGGTGCAAGCGACAACTATGGAGGAGGCGATTCGAATCGCCCTCCAAGAAGAGTACAGCTACAAGCAGGCTGGTACTCCTCGGGAAGAGGAACATCGCCATGATGAGGATGGCGTTCCTCGGGAGGCGGAGCATCGCAGCAATGACGCTGTTGCTCCTGCTGTCACGCAGCCCGTTAATTCCGGTGCGTACAGCGAGCCCGAACCCATGGACTTAAGCTCAGCCGAGAGCTTGGTCCGCTGCTACGGATGCGGCGGACAAGGGCACTACCAGCGTGTGTGTCCCTCGCCAGTCCTCGGGAAGAAGACAGCCCGTGGACCCCAGGTCCGATGGCGCAGGCTACGACCAGGTGGACGAAGACTCCCCGGCCACCAGTAGAGGCTGTATGCCCTTCTGAAGAGCGCTAAGCCTTCGTGACGGGTGTGCAGGTTGTGCGCACCACGGGACTTAGCCCAGAGAGACGTGGCTCTCTTAAACCGGTGAAGGGCAGTGATGGGCTGCTGGTAGTACACTCGGTGTACGGGGGTACGGTACCCCTTGGACGTTTAATAAATTAAGGGGCTTTGATACGCCGCCGGAACGTCGCTTGGCATAGCGACACCCGACTGCACTCTATTTTAGAGTCGCGGTCGTGGTCTGGTCCTTGGTGGACTAGCCTTTGGTACGGTGAAGGAAGTACCAATGGTCCTCAACAGACCTGAGCGTTTGGGCTCGATGAACTCGCGCACCGCAGTGCCGCTCACAGCTCTCGCCATCAACAACATGGCTGTGCCAAACATAAGGCACAGCCCGGACTTTGGTGTGGCAAGGCTGAGTAGGGCCTACCAGTCCAGGTCTATGGCGGAGCATTGGTGAGTCATGTTCCCACCTCCGTCATGACTGGGCGTCTAATACAGACCGCCAGGATACAGAAGCGTCACGGAGCTATCAACGCGCCGACAGCTCTGCGTACAGCAAGACCATGCTCCGCTGCGGCAATGCCACGGGCATGGGTCTTTTGCCCGGAGTGTGGACCTGCTACACCAGCAGCGACCAAAGCCGAAGGTCGTCGCGCCGAACGGGCTTCGACAGTGGTTATGCCTTTAAGCGCTAGCCAGGTAGGTAGCTTAGGACCACACGGTCGCCCAGACCTTAGCGGAAGAGGAAGGCGCTGCATGCGCTTCCTGTGTGGGTAACACAGTACCACACGCAGTCACCCAGACTATAACTGAAGAGGAAGGCATTGACCATGCTTCCTGTGTGGGTAACACAGTGCCACACGAGGTCTCGAGTGCCTCTGATGTCGCCAACGAGACATCACGGCGTGGGTAACAAAGT